GTTCATGATTTTGTTCTTCTTTATGGCTATGTAACATTCCATTGTGTATATGTACATTTTTTTTATCCATTCCTCTTTTGATGGGCAGCACGTTTGGTTCCATGTTCTTGCTATTGTGAACAATGCTGTGATAAACATACATGTGCAGTTATCTTTTTTATAGAGTGATATGAATTCTTCCGGGTATATTACCAGTAGGGGGATTGTGGGGTCATATGGAAGGTCAATTTTTTAGAACTTTTAGGAATCGCCACACTGATTTCCACAGAGGCTGTACTAGCTTACACTCCCACCAACAGTGTAGAAGTGTTCCCTTTTAGCCACATTCTCTCCAGCATCTGTTATTTTTTGAGTTATTAATGATGGCCATTCTGACTGGAGTTAGATGGTATCTCAGTATAGTTTTAATTTGCATCTCCTTGATGACCAGTGAGGCTGAACATTTTTTCATGTATCTGTTGGGTGCTCGTATGTCTTCTTTTGAGAAGTGTCTATTCATGTCTTTTGCCCACTTTATAATGGGGCTGTTTGTTTTTTTTCTTTTCAGCATGTTTGAGTTCCTTGTAGATGCTTAATGTTAGGCCTTTGTCAGACATAGAGTTGGCAAATATTTGTTCCCAGCCTATGGGCTGTCTTCGTGCTCTCTTGATGGTTTCTTTGGCTTTGCAGAAACTTGTCAGTTTAATGAAGTCACACTTGCCTATCTTATCTCTTATGCCATGGACACTTTGGGTTTTGATCAGGAATTGGCTGCCAGTTCCAACTTCTGTAAGAGTTTCTCCTGCATTTTTTAAGGTTCTTATAGTTTGAGGTTTTACATTTAGGTCTGTGATCCATTTAGAGTTAATTTTTGTGTATGGGGATAGGTAGGGGTTCTGTTTCAATCTTCTGCATGTGGTCAGCCAGTTTTCCCAGCACCATTTACTGAATAGTTCTCTTCTCCCCAGTAGTGGGTGGTGGAGGCTTTGTCGAAGATGAGTTGGTTGAGAAATTGAGGTTTTGCTTCTGGAATCTCAATTCTATTCCATTGGTATATATACCTGTTCTTGTACCAATATCAGGCTGTTTTGATTATTGTAGCTTTATAATAAAGTTTAAGGCCTGGGAGTGTGATACCTCTTGCTTTGTTTTTTTTTTGCTGAGGATTGTTTTGGCTATTTTTGGTCATTCATGTTTCCATATGAATTCTTGTATTGTTTTTTTCTAGATCTGAGAAGAATGTTGCTGGTAATTTGTTGGACATTGTGTTAAACCTGTAGATTGCCTTAGGTAGGATGGACATCTTAAAAATGTTGATTCTTCCAGTCCATGAGCATGGGATATTTTTCCGCTTGTTTGTGTCATCTTTGATTTCTTTAAGCAGTGTTTTGTAGTTTTCATTGTAAAGGTCTTTCACATCTCTGGTCAGGAAAATGCCAAGGTATTTCATTATTTTGTGACTATTGTGAATGGAATTGTGCTTTTTATTTGAGTTTCTGTTTATTATTGGTGTAAAGAAATGCGATTGTCTTTTGTACATTTATTTTATACCCTGAGACTTTTCCAAAGTCCTTTATCAGTGCAAGGAAGTTTTTGACAGATTTTCTTGAGTTTTCAAGATATGCAATCATGTCTTCTGCAAAGAGAGATAACTTGACTTCTCATTTCCTTTTTGGATACCCCTGATCACCTTCTCTTCTCTGATTGCTCTAGCTAGGACTTCCAAAACTATATTGAACAGGAGTGGTGAGAGTGGGCATCCTTGTCTTCAGTTTTCAGGGGAAATGGTTTTTGTCTGTTTAAGTGTATGGTGGTTATGGTTTCTCAAGATGGCTCTTACTCTATGCCTAGATGTTTGAGGGTTTTTATCAAGACGCGGTGCTGGATTTTAGCAAAAGCTTTTTCTGCATCTAATGATATAATCATGTGGTTTTTGTTTTTACGTCTGTTGATGTATTTATTTACATTTATGGTCTTATATGTGTTGAACCAGCCTTGCCTCCTGGGGATGAAGCCTACTTGGTCATGATGGTTGATTTTTGAGATGTGTTGTTGAATCTGTTTTGCTAGGATCTTGTTGAGAATTTTAGCACCTATGTTCATCAAAGATAATGTCCTGTAGTTCTCTTTCTTTGTTGGGTCTTTGCCTGGCTTTTGTATCAATGTGATGTTAGCTTCATAAGTGATTTGGGGAGAGTTCCACCTTTCTCAATTGCCTGGAATACTTTCAAAAGAATTGGTATCAGTCCCTCTTGTATGTCTTGTAGCATTCTGCTTGAAAGCCATCTAGTCCAGGACTTTTTTGTTGTAGGTAATTTCCTTGATTGTTATTGGTCTATTTAGGGTCTTGATTTTTTTTTGTTTCAACCTAGGGAGGTTGTGTGATATCAGAAAGTCCTTCATTTTCTTTAGGTTTTCAAGTTTGTTGCCATACAAGTGTACATAGTAGTCTCTGATGATCTTTTGTATTTCCCTAGGGTCAGTTGTGACTTCATCTTTTGTGTTCCTGATTGTGTTTATTTGGGCTTTTTCTTGGTCAGTCTAGCTAGGGAACTATCTATCTTTTTTATCCTTTCAAAGAACCTGCTTTTTGCTTTGCTGTTTTTTTTTGTATTATCTTTTTGTTTTCTATGTCCTGGATTTGGGCTTTTATTTTGGTCATCTGAATTCTTCTGCTGAAGTTAGGGTTTTGATGGTCTTGCTTTGCCAGTTTCCATTACAATGGGGGGTCATTATTCATCCTACCACAGTCTTCTTTCTGGAAATTTCATCTTCATTTCTTACGGTTTTTTCTTTTTTAATTCATTTGTCTTAAGTATGATGATTTTATAATCGCCATCTGATACTTCTATCTGAATAAAGTTTTGGGACATTTAATTTTGATGTTTGTTTTAGAATCAGTCATACTCAGTGCTCTCTCACAGAAACAAAGAACAGAGTACCACATGTTCTCACTCATAAACAGGCCCTGAACATTTACCTTAATACTATGTGAAAAGGATTGGCAGTAGCAGGATACTGCTGGGGTATGTGGGACACAACACCAATAAGGATACCTGATCTCAAATCATGTGAAGTGGGGACCAAAGGGAGGCCCAAACTTTACCTATAAGATGACCGCTTTTATGCCGAATTCTGAATCATACCCCATATCTTTAAAATAAAAAACATTAAAAAAACCCTGCTGTGTGTTTGTCTGCTAATACTCAGTCAAAATAAGATACAGTTTTAAATGTGTTTCATAATTTTAGGTTATAAACCCATCATCAAGTGACTCTGTGTCAGTCTCACCAGACAGCTTTAACAATTGTTTACTTTTCTCCACATCCACACCAACATCTGTTGTTTTTTGATTTTTTTAGTAATGGTCATTGTGACTAGTATTAGGTAGTATCTCATAGTTTTAATTTGCATATCCCTATGAGTGATGCTGAGCATTTTTTTCAAATGTTTGTAGGCCATTTTTGTATCTTCTTCTGAGTAATGTCTATGAAAATAGAACACTTATACACTTTTGGTGGTAGTATAAATTAGTATAACCTGTATAGAAAGTGGTATGGAGATTACTAAAAGAACTAAAAGTGGATCTACAATTTGAGCCAGCAGTCCCACTACTAGGTATCTACCCTAAAGAACAGAGATTGTTATATGAAAAAGGCACCTTACCCACATGTTCTTGACAGCACAATTCACACTTGCAAAGATGTGGAATCAATCTAAATGACCATCAACCAATCAGTGAATAATGGAAATGTGGTATATATACACCATGGGATACTATGCAGCCATAAAAAAAGAATGAAATCCTGTCTTTTGGAGCAACATGGATGGAGCTGGAGATCATCATCATAAGTAAACTGGCTCAGAAACAGAAAACCAAATGCCGCATGTGTGGGAGCTGAATGGTCACAGAGATGGAAGTAATAGACACTGGGGACACCAATAAGGGAGGAGTGGGGAAGGGGGTTTGGGTTCAGAAACGACCTATGGGGCACAATTTTCACTATCTGGGGAATGGGCCACCTAGACCCAATCCTCACCACTAAACAGTATGTCTGTGTAACAAATACACATGTGTACTCCCTGAGTGTAAAATTTTGAAAAAAAATCAAGTCTCCAGGGGTACTACTCACTGACCCACAGTCATTTCTTATGATATTTTATTGTTTAGGGTTTTTAGGATCATGTAGTGGTATAAACCGCCAATATGTATGAGATCAGACCACTGGTTATAAAAGAGGTGTAATCTTCCTACGTCTGGGCTTAATATAAATGTTTTTGTTTGTTTGTTTTTTCTCCCTCTTAGTAAGTGGACTTCTTTCTTAGATCACCCTTTAACTGAAGTGTAGCCCTCTAAGGATCTAGATGTTAACAAGATAACATCTCCTTTTCTACTTCTTGTCTTGTTTTTATCTTAAAGCCTCTCCCCTCCCTATATGGGCATTAAAATCTAAGTGCTTAGATTACTGCTCAGATAAGCAAACTCTTTTGAGCTTCTACTGCATTAACGCATATGCTTATTGTTCTAGTTTTCAATTCTCAGTTTAGTTATGGCTACTGAAGATTTTACTTTTATGGTAAGTAAAATCACCAGTGTCTCCCAGAGTCTTCCCTGCTTGGTTCTCCCGTAATACTTCTCCCTTAACACTTGGTTCTCCCTTAACATTTAACACACTCTGTCAAGTGTCTCATACATACATCACCTCTTGAGGCTATTTGTGGTTTGTGTACCTTAGGTAGGCAGGAGCTGGTTTTGGGGGGATAGTTGACTCTTGCTTAGGGACACTTTAAGCTTTGTCACAATTCCCCACATCAACATTGTTATTAGCAGTAGCACCTCTGCTGTGTCAAGGTATTATTAATCTTACCTCTATGAGATTCCTAATACCATGATAGAGAAAATAATAAATTATCAAAATTCCTTTTATGTAACACAAATTATTAAATATAAAATACTTGAAAGAAAATACTGTTACTTTAATTTTCAACCCATTTATCCCAATTCTCATTTTCCTTTCTAGGATGTGTGCTGTGTTTGGTGGAATCTATTGTCTTCGCCATTCTGTACAGTGCCTTGTAGTGGACAAAGAATCCAAAAAGTAAGGATGATGTATTTATACCAAAAACCCAGATGAAAAATGCTGAAGTAGATTTAAAAAAAAAAAAAAAAAGATTCTTGAAAGATTCTACTTGGTGTTAATAATATATCAACCTTGATTAAAAGTAATTTGTGTTTAGGTCCTCCAGAACAAGAAAAGTGAGTTCAGACTATAGAAACTAAATTAATTTCCCTGGAATATGAATAGCTCCTGATCATCCAGGCTTGGAAGACAGATCATTTCAGTTGCCTGGGGTGGGTGATGAGTGATGCTAGTTTTCCTTGTGGCCTTACCTCCTCTAATTGATTTTCATCAGATGACAACAAAGCCCTCTGTTATTGCAGTTTTAAAAATGGAGCTCACCTGAAGACTCATCAGATTAATCTCTCCTGATAATGCATGTCACTCCAAGAAAAGACTTTAATGAGTTTTTAGGTAGATTATCATAAACTATGCTGCCCTCTTATCTGAGGATAAATTCTTTTACAATAGTATTCAGGCCTACAGGATGGCTTAACATTAAAATAAAAATTTACCTTTTTTTAAAATAAACCAAGCACCATCTGTTTATCTGTGTATTTTGTATTTAAATTACATTTTTCTAGGATTTTTGATTGGTTACTAAGTTAAGCACTTGCCTGAAATATAATACATAAAATATTAATTATACATTTTCTAAGTTTTACACTGAAAGTTAAACGGGGCGACTGGATCAAGTGTTAGAAGCTATTTAAATTAGTGTGTGTGTGTGTGTGTGTGTGTGTGTGTGTGTGTATGTGATTTTTACATGCTCTCAAGCATCTATTGACCTATATCTCTTAGATAACTGTTTTTAAGGATGTATAAACCAAGTCGTTTTTCCTTATGCATTCATTTTGAAGCATGATAATGTTCCCATGACAGGGAGTCAGATAATGAATTGCTTGTTTTGTGCTTATTTACTTAGATCCTTTTAACCTTTTTTGGGCCCCATTCCAGTTTCACGTGTTACCCTCAGTGACATTAATAATTTGTTTTGCCCATATTTGTTTTTAAAAAGTGGATATGCTAGTACAATAATTGCATTTGTTGAACTAAGGCTATGTTTACCTTACCTTTGGCTTTTTATGTTTTTATGACATACTCTGAACATTGGAATGTTTTTATGATCTGGTGCGGATGCCAGGTGCAACAGATAGCTGAGGGCTGTAAAGGTCTATAGACCAAAAGATTCTCTAGAATGGTAGTTTTCAAACTTTCAAGTGCCTAAGAATTACAGGTAAGCTTGTAAAAAAAATGCAGATTTCTTCTCCTTGCCCTTGGAGAGTGATATTGAGTAATATGCTTAGGGTGGAGTCAGGGAATCTGCAGTTTTAAGAAACACCCAAGTGATTCTAATATAGGAAGTCCTTAGATGACACTGAAAAACACTGATCTGTAAGGTAAAGTTGAGGATTTAGCGAAAGGTACTGTACTCCATAATAAACTGGGAGTTCCAGGTCTTAATTCATTCTAAGGCCTAATCAAGATGAACCTGGCAGATATATAGGCAATCAAATATGAATTTTAAATAGCAGGCACACTGCTTCTAATTTATTTTATAGCTTCATAGAAAGATCTTAAACATAGCATTTGTTGTTTAACAGCTAAGTCATGAATAAAGGTCGGTTAGTCCTGGGGTGAGCGATGACTTGGAATTCTATCAGTGTCATGAATGACAGTGGGCAAATCCTTTTCTCTTGGCCTGTTCCTTTATCTGTAAGATGAGTGACATGGACTCTGCAGGAATCTCTGAGTTTCTTTTCAGATCTAACATGCTTTGGTTAAGTTATTTAGCATTCTTGAAAAGTACTATTAGTTTTAACTTAATATTTAGAAATGAGTGACCTTAAAATATTTTATAAGCCCAAATGTAAGCCATTACTCACATAGTGAGTAATCTTCAGTCCCAGTAAGAAATGTTTAAAATGTTGGACACCTTGTAGGTATCTACTTTTGTGAATATAAATTAAATAGCATCAGGTCTGTGTGTCTACTTAGGCTATTTATTCTATTAGCAGAACCCCAATTCTGATGTCATCTTCTTGTCCATCTTGTTTTTTGTTTTTTAAAAGATACAACCACTTTTTATTCTGTATATGATTTTCTTACTAGAAAATTTACTTCAAGTCATAATTATGTATTTCTGTATTAGGACAGTTTTTAAAATTTGACATGCATTTGTAATATTCCTGATATCAGTAGCATTATCACTATAGTGAATTGCTTAAGTGAACTTTAAAAATTTTGAGACAAGCAATGCTTCAAAATTATAAATTCATACCTCCAACATTAATTACCATATCTATATTAATTTTTGCTTTAAAAAATCTATTCTATCAGATCAAATAGTCTCTATAAATTTCTAAAGCTAGCATTGATTAAAGTTAGCTTAGGTTAATGTATTTTTCTCAAACATTTTGTCATTCAAAACCAAATAATTGAGAGAGATACCAGTAATAGGAGACCTAAATATAAAGTGGGGGATTTTATTTATTTATTTTGAGGGAAAAACCTTGACGTTATAGTTGGGTGTATATCCAACATACATTTCTTTTGAAGGAGTCCAGGTTGACTTAGACAACTGTTTATTCTAAGTATTATCATAATATTAACTAAGGAAAATGCAGAGATTTATATTTGTCCCCTTATGGTTTTAGTTTGTTTTTCTTTCCCTAGTTTTCTGTGTAGAACACTTGACATACCTGTTCCCTTTTAGTGTAGTTAAGAGCTACTCATACTTCAGGTTGAAGTTCTAACTAGTTCAGACTAGATCAGAACCCTATGCCCACCCCTCCTCCTTGCCCCTGTCAGATCCCCTTGTATGATTATTTGATAAGTTCTCTGTAAGAAAAGACAAGGTCTCACTATTATGTCTCTAGAACCAAGGCAAGTTCTTAGTACTCATTATGCTCAGTAACTTTGAGTCAAATACAAGGGGGGACCCAAAAAACCCGAAGTTTTTTTATAAAAAATTATGTAGTTTTACATGTTTAAACCTCAGTCACCTTCAAAGTACTCTCAGTTTGATGCAACACATCTGTCAAGATGCCTTTTCTACTGCTTAAAACAGTTTTTTAACTTGGCAATTTTGATGCCTTTTAGTACTTTTGCCATTTTTTGTTTCATCTCTTTCACGTTGGCTACATGTTTCCCTTTGAGGACTTTCTTCATCCAGGGAACAAAGAAAAAAGTCACATGGGACTAGACTGGGTGTATAAGGAGGGGCTCATGCTGTTTTGGGGCAAAAACTGCAACTGCTCATTGTGGAGTGGGCAGGTGTGCTCATAAAGCACCTAGCATGAAATAGGCAAACATGTTGAAAGTACCTCCGAAAAAAAATTAACTGAAGTTGAATGTACCCTCTCACAGCAGCACTAGCTGGTTGATACACTGATGCCGATGGGTTCCTGGAACATGTACCAATTATCCAAAAGATAATTCTGGGTTTTGGGGAAGTTTCCCTTGTAATTGAATGATGATTAAACACTGATTATAGCCTTTTTTGTGCTTTCTGCTTCACCTTTCATTTTGGAAATCTATTAGAGGCCTAGATGATCATAGCATTGAGTTTAATATGATTATACATCAAGCTACTGTACAAACTTTAAGAGAAGAAATAGGGCATTGAAGAGATACATGAAACCATGGTATATGGAATATGTAACCAAATGTGTGCCTATTTTCAGCTAGATCTTATTTTCCATTTCTGTTTAATTCGTTGACTCTGCTTTCTTAATTTAAGAAGATGTAGGTATATATAGTGATTCTTTCCCATACCATTTCACTAAATTCTAATACTGTACCCTTCTGTTGACTGTTTTCGGAAACAATGAATGTTCTTGTTCAACAGCTATGCTGACCAGGTAAAACTTTTTAAAATTAGGTTGGCCAGTTAGTAGTATAGTATATGACATTTGGGCAAGGTAGAGATGACCTTGAACCAGATATGCCTGTAACCCTAATTACTTCAGCTAGCATTCCCTGTATACGTTAGTTGTGTCACTTACTAGATTCCATGCTATGACTGTATCTTGCAGATGTCTTTTTTTTCTGATGTCAGGAAAAGCTATGCCTTTTCCAGATATTGGAAGTTAGTAACGAGTAATATGTTAGACCTAGTGTGAAATGAGTGACTCTTAATACCATTTGTTATTGCTGAAGCCCTGATTTTAGTGTGTTCTGCTTATAAAAGGTAGTGACCATATTCTAGATATTTAACATCGACCAAACCCCATGCTAGCTATGGGGATAAAGGCAATAAAACATAGACCCTGCCCTTGTGTACAAAGAGACTGCACTAAAGAGTTCATCTCTAAAGTCAGGTAGGTGGGATTCGGATCCTGACTTTGTCACTAGCTTTGTGAACTTGAGCAAGTCATTTGACTTCTCTGTGACCCAGTTTCTTTATCTAGAAAGTAGACCAATTGACAGTACCTACCTTGGAGGGTTATTATGAGTATTAACTGAACAGATAAAGCTTGTAAAACCACTTGTTACACATTGTAAGATCTCAATATATGTTAGCTAGTAGCAATTGCTAATATAATCGAAGACTTAGAATCCAGTGGAGTGAAACATATTGTGAGGATCCTTCTATGCTGTGCTAAGGAGTTTGCACTATAATTAGTAGTAATTTTAAATGAAATTAGATTTGCTACTTTTAATTTGGTAATTCTGGCTATGATTTGGAAAAAGTTCTATGATGGAAATCTATTCTATACCTCCTAAATCAGAGATTCTGTATGTTTTTCCCCTCGTCTCTGTACTGTTCACATGTACAGCATAATTCAATTATCTATCCATCCTTTCACCCATCCATGCAACAAGTGTTAGTTGTTTTCTGTGTGCCAGGCACTGAGAATACAGCAGAGTAAAAGGTAATCAGAGTATTTTTTCTCATGAAGTGTATAGTCTCCTGGGGGATATTACAGAACAAATAAATTAACAAGGTAAAGTTGAGTGTGGAGGCTCATGCCTGT